GATTTGAAGGCCAGAGGAAAGTGTGCACCTCTAATCAAAGGTTAACAAGCTCTGACAATTGTTGCTTGAAGTTCAGAAGTCCTTATTAATTAATATAGTAATCCAATTACCTCCCTCCTAAGTCTCTTATTTTGCTGGCAGTTATAAAGTGACCATTTAAATTTTACTTATTGAGAAATACCAACTGATCGTTAACAAAAAGCAACTTACACTTTTTTCTAACACAGCACGAGATGGAAAATCTATTTCTAAGAGGTCTTTCAAGTTTTGTAATAAACTGATTTCTGGATCCCTGCAGATGAGAGAGAGGGAGAAGAAAGTCAACAGTAGGAATGGCAAATACCATTTCAGTTTCAAACCTGTATTATGAAAGATGCTTACCATAAGTGGATATTGTTGTTCAGCTTAATTCTCAAAGGGTTAACCACTGCAAACAATGTACATAAATAATTACATCACCTTTCGGATCCTCTTTGCTCACCCACCCACTTTGACCTCTTCTATTTCAGCATTGAAGGGGATGGCATAGGTGCTGGGTTTTTTTTTTCTGTTATTCAAGGTATGTAGTCAATGACTGCTCTTAGGTTTTTGTTTTGGAAATTCATTACACTAATATTTAAAATATCATACTGTTGAAGATATGTGAAGATATTTACCTTAAAAAGTTGGTAAAGAGCTGTGAGACACGGAGTAAAAGCCTTAGATATTTATTTGCAAACACTATTAGGATATATGTAATAAATTTTTAAAATTTTTTAAAGAAAATTATGTTCATATATAAACATGATTGGATAATCACTTGTAGGACACAGGGTTCCCTCTAAACTGTGCTAGGAAGGCACTGGAAAAATTGTCACTCACAGAGCAAAACAGCATGCTTTGGATTTAGGCTGTTAAAAACCCCAGCATCTACTGCCTAAAACTCTCCTGCACACATACTCAGCTTAATTCCTGGCTCTGTTTAAGTGAAGTTTACCGCAGGAGTCTGACATAGTCTGACACTAGTTTCTGCTCACCAGAGACAGAGTCTAGAAGAGGAACAAACGGTGTACGTCTGCTGCCTTACCGTGATCTGCTCCAAGAAAGTAACACTCGGGGAGCATGTTTGGATGCCGAGGATCTACCTCTATGGTCACTGAGACGTTGTTCCCTGCAATGAGAAAGCAAATAAGTGATAGGGGAAGCTTTTCTTCGCATTGAAGTGTTTGAAAATGGAAACATCAACCTCTTTTTAAAAGCAGGTTTAAATTGGTTAATTCAGGGTGGTTTTCTTTACTACAAATAAAAAAAATAAATTATAAAAATAATAAAAAAGTTGGTAGGTATCCAAATCAGTTTTCCAAAATATCAGTATATATTAAATATTTAAATTTCAATGGACTGTAATTAGAAATTGCAACTGATTAAATAAAACTTAGTCTTGCATTTCTTATAGAATAGTCTTAACACTTATTTCCGAATAATCAAACTTAAGCTAGATGACATAATCCATTTGAAATCTTAGTGAAATTTTTAAGGGTAGTAGAGATGTTATTAATTCCTCATCATCTTTTACAGTCAAAAAGAGAAGCATAAAGACAGTATCAAGCAGTAAAATCAACAAAGTCGGTCCCCTCCACAGCATGCTCCTGGACTGAGCAAACAATGACATATTTTGGAAAGAGCAAATATTTTTCTCTTACAAGATACCCCATCATCCTCACAATGTCTGCTATTCATACAGGGTTAAGCAGCTCAAAAATGTTTGGACCCACGTCAAAAACCTCACAGCCAATTCTCTTCTAAATAGAAACAAGTGCAACTCAACATTTTTTGCCATTAAGAGGTATGTTAGGCTTTCCCTCCTTGAAGAAATTGGAATGAATGAAATCAAAGTTTAGTCATAACTGAAGATTGTCTGTGACCGACAACAAAGGGCTCAAAGCCTTGCGTTGCCCTCCGTTGATCTAATGCGAGGCACTTTTTGAGGCTTTTCTTTCCTTTTCATTGGTCTGTGTCGAAGTACAGCAGAACCAAGATAAAGCTGTCCTGCCTGCACACGCACACATGCAAAAAGAAGTGTCATCCAACCCATGTCGTTTGAGCCGGTTGCTGAACTTTTTCTGTCCCTTCCCATCCCTCCCTCCACCCGCAGTGAAGGTGCAGCCTCAGCACCCCACTAGCTCCCTTCCCTTCTTCATGCTGCAGGCAATCAGTCTTTCCGCAGGTTTCAGGCACAACTTAGGTCTATTCGTCCAGTGTATGCTCTCAGATTCCTACAACGTGCTATTGACGTTTTGAATTTTGGCTAAAAATCAGAACTCTTCTTTCAAAGGTAACATTCCTCCTCCCATATTCTATACTAGAATAGAGGCATTTCTGACCTCTGACATTGGCAAGTTTCTCCTTTGCCATTACAAGACTCCTATATATATTAAGACCTTAAAGTGCCAGACATCAGCATATGAATTAAGGTACTTTTTAAGACGGCTAACACTGTAAGCCTCTAATTTCCTCTCTTCTCTTATTTCTTTGTCCTTTCCACTGCGTCTTTTAACCCACTTTTCTCCTTTTTGACTGCACTCTAATATTCCTTTCACTCTTCCAAGACAGGATCAATCTAAAGTAATAGTCTGTTAAAAAAGTCTGGAATTTGTGAATGAGATAAGGGCTTCATCTATGCTGATTTTTTACAAATACTGATTTTGCTAGTTATCATGCCAGTCCTCAGTTTTTGACAGTTACATGTTCATAATTTACAAATACACAGTAATTTCCTGCAGAAACTGTAATTCTATGTAACACTATAAAGTTGTAAGTAATTTCCTAAACAGGTTCAGTATTCTGTGGAAGGTGGTTTTTTTTTAATACACAAAATAAGAGAGTTGTGTCTTGCTGATTTTAAGTGCTACCTTCCATTTTCCTAACTCTAACAAGCGCCATCTGATAAGCAAATCAAAACAGCACCCTGAGTTTTACTTCTCACATCCACTGTATTCCTTCAAATCTTGCCATACCTATTGCGATTCTTCTTGTTGTAGTGCTTCGTGTATGATTCTCTGGCTCAAGCACCCATGTCTTCCCATCAATTTCATCCATAGCATCCCAGAATTCTTTCAGTGATTCTAATGCTGCCAGGAACTGATTATAAATGTCTACTAAGGAGTTCTAAGAAAAGAAGAAATTTAAACAAACTTCATATAGTTTCCACCTACAGCCATATAGGATATTTAAAAAACAAACCGTAGGTAACTTAAGAAGTGTTAAAATCCAGTAAGTATCCAGCTGTATCATGCTAGCATAAGATGTTAAACCTCATCTTTTTTTAAATGAAACAACACAAGAATGGCTGTATCCTGAGTACTTAACTAACCCTGGTAGTTCTAATGTGTTGTGATACACGTGCATCATATCTGGGTTTGATAGTGTCTTATACTCCTTCTCAGAAAACTTTTCTGGAAACCGATAACAACTACTAATTTGCATTGTATCTTCTAACAAACTACTGTAAAATTAAAGTAAAAATAATCATTATCTGCTATTAAACTTCTAACATTCTGATATTTTGTGTCTTCTTCAGCTGAGCAACATGGCAGTGGTACCAAACACAAATATGCAGAAATACCCACGTAACTAAAGTAGCTTATTTATTTTTTAAAGACTCTAAGAAATACAGCCTAACAATGTCATAATTACCTCAAAATTAAGCAGTATAAAAACAGGTACTTAACATTAGATTTCAAGCCATGTAAATACAGTAAGAGAAGGAGAAACCATCTAATAATCAGAGGATTACACTCAAGGGATTTCAATATTTGAGAGTGGATTAGATGGAATCAGAAAAATCTTTCATTACACAGGACAATATACCGAACGGCAATGCAAAAGCAGTCCTTTTAAAATCATCAGAGAGCACAAAGGAAGTAACTATTTCTGCAGGGAAAGACTCCTTCAAGTAGAGAAAACACTCAACAGTCAACACCTTTCCAAGTGCAGATGCCCAGTAGGGAGCCGAAAGGAGGTGAAGGCAGGAGGAGGAAAGAGATGAGTTCTGTTTGCAGTAACACCCCATACGGGTTTTGAGCCTGCTGTCAGATGGGACCCGTGGAGGAATGAACAGACCAGTAGAAGAAGGACCCATCAAAACATGGCTTGTCAGAATGTGGCTTCATGGCGAGAGATGAAGCTATGACAGGGAAAAAGTGAAGGTGTCAAGGAACTACGCAGAGGTGGCAGGGAAGGGAGATCAAGAGTGGGGGGAAGTGTTTTGAACAGAAACTCTTCCCAAATAACTTGTCTTCTCAAATTGTTTGGTAGTGGGAAAGTCACGAGTAGAAAAGAATTGTCTGGGAGCACCAAAGGATATTTTAAAATTGTTTACACAGAACACAGCTGAACAATTAAATGTATTAGTAAAAAGCAGGAAGGATAGGAGAGAACTGACAAAACTTCTTCAATTCTGATAAAGAGATGGTAAAGTACATTTTTTAAAACAAAAACGATGTAACAAGGGCCAGATTTCGGATATCTTCTGGCCTGGGAACAAATTCTTGAGGTCAAAAAGAAAAAGCAAATTAAATGTTTAGTTCTTAAAGAGGTATTTTTCTATAAATAACACAAAATACACATGGAACAATTTCCTTTAATCTTTAGTAGTTAAGTTCTTCCTTTCTCACCTGGACGAAAAGAAGCACACTATACGAACATTCTCAGATGAAAAAATATTAAGTTTATATGTAATAAGTTTTTATATTTTATGCATACGTATTTTAGAAAGAAACGGTGTAGTTTAGAAATAAAATGCTACATTTTTTCCTGCTGTTATTAAATTATATTAAAGTAGGAAAGCACTTAAGCAGAAAAGTGTGAATACTGCCAATCTCAAAATGTAACGCTTATTATCTTTAAAAGCATTTTGTTACTTTTATAATACCTGAAGTGATATAATAGTGTCAGTCACTTAACCACGTCTTAGAGTATAATATCTTCATCTTAAGTACTATTATTTCCAGTATTTTAATAATTTTCACACAGTCCTGAAATGTGATCTTTTGTGCTCTGATGACACTTAAATTAATAGCGTAATTTTCTGGTACTTGCAACAGTTGCTTTCCATTTTGATTTTTTACATTTTTCTATATCACATACAGATAAATCCTCTAATAATCATTTCTATCTTTATCTTCTGGGAATTCAAAGGGTTTCACTACAAAAAAGAAACATCAAGGGATTATAACCCACAGATAAGTTTTAAAATCCAATTAATTTTAATACTAATTGTAATTTTTCGATGATGTTCCTTAAAAAGGTAGTTAAATCTTTTTTTTTTAATGCACTGTTCATTTGATTTTATTTGCATGCTTCATTGATGTTGCCAGCTGTCTCCTGCTATATATATAAAAGCATCTATAGCTATTTAAATAGATCACATATGCTTGTCGTGCAAACCATGAAAACTATAACATTCCTTTTTATTTGATTAACCAACTAATTTTTGGTCATTGCCCAACACTCTTTTAGAAAAGACTGCTATCATGCTTTTTTTTTGTCTACACTACACCACGATACTTGTTACTAATGTCAGACAACACAAACTCTTTGTTTCTTGGTAACTTTTGTACAAACGCATTAGAATTTGTAAGAAATATGTCAAATATTCTTTGGAAAATAAGATATTCATAATTCAGGATATCATTACTGGCTGCCAACCTGACTCTAAAAACTACTAGCAAAACCAAACTGGTTACTCCATCGTTTGTATCTGTTAGGTTTCCATGTTCATCAGGCAAAACATCCATTATAAAAACAAAGCGCATTGTGGCAGTTTATTCTTTCACAACAACTTAAAACAGAATGAAGATATTTTTAATGTATAATATCAACCTTGCATTTCATTTGTAACTCCTGAGGACACTGACATCAGCTGCCCATATGAGTAGCAATGACTAGCTAGCAGAGGTGAGGAAATACTTGTGCTAGAATAGTCACAAGACCTAATGCAGGTGTCCCCCCACCACGGGATCACTGACGTCTATTGCACGGGCTGGGAAGTGATCCCTCTGCTGCTGTGCGCCCCGATCCCCAGGCTGACCGGGAATCATTGAAGTCAGTGCAGACGGCGCTAGTGAGGCTGTGTCCAAGCCGAAACACTGTGCGTGGTTGTGGCCAGACATTACCAAACCAACCAACCATAGCTGGGCCAAAGAAGAAGTTTCCAAGATGAGAAATGGAGAGTCTACTGTTAGAAAAGGTCAAAGAAGTTTTATGGGTTTAGACTAGCAAAACAGCGTAAGATATTAACTATTGTTATCTACACTGTGATCGCTGTACAAGATACCTAGAGCTAGAGTGGGCCAAAGGACAAACGAATTGTGAATTCATACAAAATCAGCAGCTGGAGCCGGCTTCCTCTCCATTGCAGCACTGAGGTCCTGAGAAAGCCCTGTGGTCCCAGGGCACCTCATTACTTTCAAGTGGGCGCTTGCTAAGTGTTTGACAGAGATATGCTGCAGGATTTAATGACCCCATTCCCTTCAGCTCTCTCTGATGACCACCACAGCAACTGAGCAGCCCAAAATCATTATTGAGTTTATCGTCAAAACGGGTTTTCAGATTAGATAGCCTCATTCCAAGTTTTCATATGGAAAAATAGGACACTGAGAAAATGTAAGTTTGGAATACTCAGCTTGAGAGGCCTTCATCTGTCCTTGAGAGGACTGTTTTTATTAGACCATCACTGCCCGTGACCACAGTCATAGCTTTAAACACTCAACACTCCTCCAGATTTTTCAAATTTCAAGTTGTGAGTGTAGAAAACAAAGAATACAATTAGCAATGACTTGTGAAAAGGCACTGTAAGAGACTCTCAGCACAGACAATTTTCTCTTTCAACAAAGCATATATATTTAGCCTCAAAGTCCCAGGCTCTGTGAGGCAAAAATCTGATACAAGCTATACCAGTGCAGTCTTTTAGACTGAACAGCAATTTAATGTTAATTTGGAGGGCTGTGATTCCGTGATCTTAACTTCTGAAAACAGGAGTTTGTAGAGACTGAATTAAATTGGTTATTTTACAGGAAAACAGACACGTAAACATATGAACTTCGATGATTCCCCAGCAGTTTTAGAAAATTTTGACGCAAATGTTACCTTTGTGCCATCAGACTGTATGTGTCTCTACTGATTTCAACAACGGGTAGGAGACGAAGCATGCATCTTGGTCGGTGAAAATCAGAGATTCTGGAACTTTCTGTCTCTGAGAGGAACGTACCTTCTCTTCTACCAGGAGTCTCCTGTAGTTTTGCAACATTTTTGTTTCCATTTCTGTCCTCTGCACTCTCATCTCCATCTCACCACTGGTAGCTCCTCAAGCCAGTTCTTTCCTTCTTTTTTTCACTTTGTTCGAATTCAAACACTTTCCCAAGTTTACCCCTATTGCCCATACACTGTTTCCTTCAATTAAAGAAATGACAAGGAATGGAATAAAAGTCATTCTACTCCTGGCTCTTATTTCTAGAGCCATAGAGGCTCGGAAAAATAAAGTCTTGAGTCTGCTCCTCCCATAAAATCCATGAAACCTTTCAGTACCTCTTAAGAAGTGCTATATGCCTATTCTGCCAAGTTTCAAACACCTGCTCCAAATCCTGGATGAACTAAAGACTAATCAAATGGTAGCAAGAATGTTCTAATTAAGGTAAATACAGCACAATTTATTAAAATTTATTTTTTAAAAAAGAGAAAAATGTGATCTTTATTCTGAGACTTTTTTGCTAAGATTCTTCCTAACACAAAATAGGCTTATCCAACATTACAACAACTGCAGAGTCTCAAATATAGGTGCTGTTACATGATTGCCCTTTATGAATTCATAGACAAAATACAACTTAATAAAGTGAACCGTTGTTGGATGGAAAACGGATCACCTGTATCACCTAAATAATTTATGATTCTTTAGAAAGAGTTTGGAAACTCTTTATATCCCACGAGCAGAAGTTTTAACAATTTCCCCCCTCCTTAGCACAAATCAAACTGAGACACGGCACTCTGAAATCTTTATAAAGTGTCTTGTCAAACATCTCCGCTTTTTGCATTTATAGATGTATATAAAGCTGATGTCTGAGAAGCTCCTTTGCTAAGAAAAAGCACAATTATGATGCATTTTACTGTGTTTTCATCAAAATAACCAAAGAATAATCTCATCCATACCACTATACCTTCTGTACCTTGTGTTACTGTTTCATTGTTGGCTGGCTGCATGACCTCATTAGTCATCAGTTCCCACTCTCATGACCTTCATGTAGCCAACCAGGTGGGCAGTGGTCAGTACAGAAACAATACTCTGATTTGAGGGCAGCAGTATATAGATGCACAGAAACTGCAGAACCATGCTTACAGTGTATGCTAAAATGTGGAGCACATTTATCTGGTTGTTTAGAAAAAGAATATAAATGAAATAAGTAAATGTTCTTGCACTTGTCATTGAGAAGCACTCTGCATTTATATGGCACTTAACAGCAGCAGCAGCATTGCCCTTGGTGCTGATTTCTTACTACTCTAAAATGTCTCCTCTGAGCCAGAATACACTGGCTGTTGCTGATCATGCTGTGAGACACCTGCACTGGCTACTAGGCTTGTCATGACGCACAAAACCCTACCATCTTCAGCTTGACATTGTGCAAGTTATAATTATTCATCCAAATGAATATGTCAGAGCAGCAGCGGCAGACCTCTCATCAGAGCAAAAGAAAAATACATCAAAACATTATCAACCCAGCAGGAAGACAGGGACCATAAGGAAAATTACCCATTTTTAATATGGATGCCATAAAGCCATGTCTATTATTATACGGAGGGGAAAAAAACACCAAAAAACACCAAAAAACCACAATCACCCAACAACCCTTCAAGTTTAAAGTCCACAAGCACTGAAAAGAACCTGAAATAGGGAAAACCACACACAAGGAGGGAGTGGGAAAAAAAAATAAATTACCTGAAATCCATTTATATATTCCTTCATAGGAGTTTATATTCTAATAGTGCAATTGCATAATTTTAGTTAAGCCTTGTCAGTTTTTACATTAAAGAGGACCAACAAATAATGACATTTAAGACATATCAGTATCAAAACTTCACGCTATTTTGCTAGAAAATAGGCATAGCATGTTCTTTTTCCCTTTTAGGAATCAAAATTTTCAACCACTTGAGAACCTGCTAAATTCTGCTATGAGTGGTGTTTGTTTCAGCATTATCAAAGCTTAACTCTTATTTTACCATGGTGTGAAGACTGCTCATTGCAATGATTTCCATGCATTTTGAAAACAGACACAATTTACACAATTACTACACAAATTTTTTTCCCGAAGTGTTAAGTTCATGTCACCAACACAGATAAGGTCAATTTTCAAAAAAGAGAGCACTACTAAAGCATTTCTATCAGCACAATGCACAGGTTGCTGGTATTTGATTCAGTATTATAGCAGGCCATCTGCAGCTAGAATTAGTATCTCATAATTTCAAAACAGGGTCTTCAGTTACATACAAACATCTGTTGTTTATGTTTTCAAATAGTCTATAGGTAATTCTAATTGTAAAAAGATTTTACGATCTCAAGCATTAGAATGTTATATTTTTAACATTAATTTTTTACTTGGTTGTAGTGTCATTATTAATATATTCGCTGCTTTAAGCTTTAAGGCTGCTTTATATCATGTTTTTCAAGAACATTTCATTAAAACGTAAGCCCAGCTAGTAGCTTTAACATTACTAACAGTAAACATAGAGAAGAAATGACTGTCAAGGATATTTGAAATGTTGTTAATTTGAGGCAACATAAATTGCAAGGCTTTAAAATTCATAAAATACTATTAAAAGTATGTATAAAGTTTGAGGTTAGAAACTGTACTTGAAATCCTTCCTGTAGTGTATGGAATCCAGTATCATTTAAAGGAAAAACAATATCTGTTTAAATTGTTCCAAACCATACCAGCGAATCAAAACCTAAAATTACATGTGAAACTAAATATATTTTTCATTTGCAGTGGTCCATTCTTGCAGTTATTTCCTCAAGCTCTCATGTTAGACGATCTGAGGTGACACACAGAACCTTGAGCTTTGCAGTCAAAATTATGTGCCCGTCTTAAAATTATTCTGATGCAACCTTTCAGCCATGTTCCCTACGTAAATTTAGTACCATAAAGACATGCTTTATTGATGGGTAGAAATCCTCGCGAGAGTTAGAATTATGAAATGCAATCATTTATGTAATATCTATTTTCCTGAATTAAATGGCATTAAATATCAACTATTTTCTAGAGATAATTCAAATTCACTTACTCTAAGTGGTCACATTTAAATCCATTTAATCAAGTACACATGCTCTATTAAGAAAAAAAGATACATGAAATCATGCAAGAGACCTTAAAAAAAGACAGTGGCTTTTGGTTCTTTATATTAACAGTATCAGTTAAACTACGAAATCAGGTTTCTATTAAGTACCTTCCTGTTGTTCTTTTGATTGCAGCTGAAAAAGTTTATTATGTTACGAAAACTATATAGGATAAGAAACTGGGGGACTGCCTTTTTTTTAATGTCTGTCAACTTTAAAGGGTGCTTCTTTTCTAACACAACAGTTTCTTGTGCATCCATTTTCCCAATGTCATTCCTAAAGATATTTCAGCTGTATGATCTGCTTAAGAAAAAAACAGCCAGTATGAGTGCAAATCATACGACATGCAAGGTATATCTATACGGCAAGGGAAATATTTAAAGTGCTATAATAACGAATATGGAGTTCAGTATTATTAGATTTACATAAACATGAATAAAAGTAAAATGCACACAGGGAAAGAAGCTGGAGTTAAATAATGAAGTCCAGCCCCTCACTACCACTTACATATTGCATATGTATCTAAGTTATTAAAAAAGATGAATAGTACAGCAGTTTACCTGTGGCATCCAAGAAATAGCAAACTGAACAGGAAAATCCACAAGGCAATCCGGTGGGTCTGTTGGATACTGAGGGAGGGAAGGAAAAAACAGGTTTTATTTTTTTTTAAAAGCGATTTAAAGTCACACTGATACACAGCTGCCAAATATGATAATGAAATATGAGCACTTTGAGCATCTTGAGAACTTGGCTCTTAGAGGAAACAGTATGTAAAGCATTTTCAGAAATAGTTACGAATGTTAATTATTATTCAAAGAAGAAATCTACATGTAAACAATTTTTATATATCAGTTTACTTAGTAAAGGCAGGAGAATCACAGTTTTCTGTGTTCAGTGTTCACCAAGACACATGAAAAAAAGAATTTAAGGCAGAAAGCATCAAATATTAAAAAAACAAATTCTCCTCAATTACCTATACTGGATAGGAAAGTTTAAAAAGAAAAACACAACCCTTTCACGAGTCAAAAACTCATTTTCATTTAAGCTAGAATATTTTTTCTACTGGCAATATTTTTTGTTTTGAAACTGAAAGTAATCAGACTAAGTGCATAATTATTTAGAAAGAGATGAACATACACTCAAAATTAAAACAACTCTCTGCCCCAAATTAAAAGGAATCAATGAGGAAAAGAAAAAAATAGCTGTATTAAGAAAACTGAAGCTATAAGAGGTTTGATAACTCCACAACTAACCACTGACTATTCACTACATTAGTAAATCTATTGCTGTTCAGCACCCAGTATGAAATCTGTGGAAAAAACCCTGGTATTTTCTGAAAAATAAAGTAGCAAAGGAAATAAACATCTATTTACAAATAAACTGTGTCCTTCCTAAGAGAACCTATCCAAAATTTTATTCACCTGAGAAGTGGCCTGCTTTAGGCCTGTGCAGCCTTTCAAATTCACCAATGATGTACACAGCAGTTTTAGAGAAATTGTATTAGTATTGCATCAACTGCCAACACAAGAAAATATTACAGAGAATCTTATTTGGGGAGACATATGAAAAAAAGTCCCAGGTTCCTCACAGAATTAAAGAGAGTTAAGACAAAGAGGCAAAGTTTAACTGTGCTGCTTCCCATAGCCATTCTCCATGCAAAGTAAACCTCTAGACATAGACACTGTCCTTATCTATCAGACATCTGGCAATCAATTTATCAGCATTTTTAAAATGTGTCTTTATTTTATGTAAAATCTAATTCCACAGTAATCTGTTTCAAAATGTTCTCTATGGCAAAGAGCAAAAATGAGACATAGCTTCCCAAGAGCATCCATTCTTCATTGCTTTGATTTTAATAATAATAATCTAGTAGATTTACGGGTTTCATAGACATTTGTTTAACCATGCTTTTAATTTGCCTTTATTTGTGGTTTCTGTTAGGTATCCACTTTCTGAAAACAAATCCTACAACTTGGATATCTTGTGCTTTATTATTTAATCAAATTGGCATCATAGAAGTTAAATAACTGTGACAGAGTAAGAGAAACAAAACAACTAATTTGGACAGGAAGTGGTTACAACTTGGAAATGCATATCCACAAACGCTGTTACAGTTTCTTTTACTGTAGTGTTACTGTTCTTGTATTGTAGGCATTGCAGTGTTAGTGGTTTTGTAGCGTAGGTATTCTTTTTCATGAAATACTTCAATGCTTGCTTAGAAATAAAATTGTTTTCAATATATAAAAGTATGCCTAGAACAAAGGCAGAAAATTTTTTCCGTAGGACTGGTTTTAGTACTACCTCATTTAAATCCCAGCAGCACTAGCCAATTATGTGTTTACTTGCTTGGTAAGTAAATTCATTTTATGCAGTCTTTTGTAGGGTGCCTTTGACAAAGTGCTTGCAAACAGATTCTACTAACTTTATGTTACTCTAAAAAAACCCCAAACCAAAAAACCTACAGCACTTTTTGCCTGCATTTTAGTCAAATTTTCTTTAAGAGCACAATATTGTACTGTGCACCTAATTGCACATGAAACAATGATTCTTGCATATGTACATAATGTTTAATGTGGCTCATCAATGACATCACGTCATGACAGTTACAGTCAAATGCATATGTCAGAAATCATCCTATTATTCTTTAGAACCATTTAAGCAATTATTAAACAAAATATTTATATTGTATTTTTGAGCATGCAGCTAACTTTAGCTAGAAAAAGTATTTTCATAACCCTTGCCAAATCATTCAGATAATTACCAGATCATCTTATTTACTACATGGCATGGAAATCCTTGCAGTGGCCTATTTGAATTCTTGGATTCTGAAAGAGCATGCACCCAATCCATTTCTCATGCAATACAAAATGAAATCTGATAACTAAAACACAATGTATTTGGTTTTACACTTGCAAAAATGCATGCTTTGTTTTCAGAAAACTTCTCCAGTCATTTATTTAAATTGTGAATGGATAAAGATTTCTGGACCAGGCATTTTCAACCAAATAAATCAGCAAACTATTTCACAAAATGTAATCTGAGCATTAAACAATAAATCCTCTTATGAAGTTTAAGCCTAATCATTTACAAAAGTCAAAATTGTGTAGCACATGATTTGGCTAACATACCTAACTATGATACGACTGTTCTCAATTCTTCCAGGTTTAAACTGACTGCCCCAAGTTCCCTAGGCACTTTACAAATGCATTTTATAGAAAGCAAGTTTTTTGAAAGGACAATTCCTAACACAAAGCACATTAAGACAAGGATAACAGGTGGAAACATTTGACAAAGCATTAAGGAAAAGTCCTCAAAACACATCCAAACCATTAAGAATGACAGCAAAGGAACATTTAGGGGATTATCTGTATACACATGATAACCTTATTAAAAAATAATTTACTGAATCACTTATTGAAGACTTTCATCCTGAAAACATTGTCAGCAGGTTCATAAACTCATTTCACTGTATGGCATCCATGAGGACAACGCTGAACAAACCAATCTGCCAGAATACAGACAAGAGCCAGCAACATATTCTGGGGAGGAGAGTTTTAGCTCTCATCTTAATCTAAGAAACAGAATAACAAAAAGAACCTTCTTTGATAAAAGTATGCTTATCAAAAGAAATCCTTTCAAAAAATACTTCAGCTAAGTCTTTTCAAATGTATTAGATATGTATACGAAGGAAAATCAAATCCCCATGTCACCAAAACCACGTTTCACATATAGATTTTCCCTTGTGGCAAGTTTAAATGCCAGACATGGTTTAAAAAGGACAAGCAATTGATCCTTCATCATAACAATCACTTGGGGAAAAAGAAGAAAAGATTGGTGATTAGTTGTTACAACAGACAAGTTGGATAATCTAGTCTCTTTATTACACTCTATCTGCAGTTGTTAGACAGTGGTTTCTTCTGCTATCAGGAGTCTCAAGTTCAGGTATTTTATTACTATAAAGAACACACACAAGTTTTTTCAAGAACAGAACAGAAAATGGTAATCTCAATTCCTCTTACAGTACAGTGATAAGTTAAGGCAAAACAGAACCAACCAATGCATAAACATAATAGTGTTTGACCATGACAGCTGCTTGGTAAAAATGGGGATTGCACTGTATTTTTTTCTGCACTTTTATACTTCCAAATAGCTAAAATACTTTACTTCAGCTGCCATAAAATCAAGAAAAAACTTAGGGACAACAGGCTGCACTTAATTTCTAGTATCACACTAAGTATGGGATAGCAGCTCCCTTATAAACAATTACAAAACAATCTGGTTCCTCTCCTCACACATTAAATTGACCATAATTGTACCTCCTGATTTATTTTTTCCATCAATGTATTTAATAATGGGCTGATTAGCAAATTAATTATGCATTCATTACTCTGCATGCAGGATAGTTTCACTCCTTTTTTTAAAACCCACTTTAGCAACCTCAATTCCCAAACAGTACTTTTTCCAGAGGCTCCTTTTTCCCCTCCAAGGTAACATTGGTTTATATTATGTAAAACTAAAAAACTGCTGGTATTTAAAGGAATATAGGATGTCTGGGAAGGTGAAATTTAATCTTACAATACCATGCCCACTCCTCATCCCTGCAAGATTATTACTCCAGATGACGGACCAAGGATCGTCCCAAACAACAGCATTTAGACATTTTTGGATCCACTTTCTCCCCTAGACTGATTTTCTGAAGACAACAGGTATCACCATACAATTGTCACCATACAGCCTGGATACTCATAGTTTCTGATATGAAATTTGTTCCTTGTAATGAGAAATTCTATGAAGAAACATTGCAATGAGTTCAGTTCTATGTACCAAGAAAAATTACATTTTTTCTGGTTCTGCACATGGCATGAGTTTGCTTTGCAAGCACTGTAAAAATCAGTCAATTATTTAGACTAAAAAGAAAATTTTTTTAACATAAGGAACTCACTTCTGTAGTCAGTTTTTCATAACTCTTTTTAACAGTGAGACTTGCTAAAGAAGCAACCCAACACCTCTAATTCTTGTTATATGCATAGTCTCTGGGTGGAGTGATAATGAATGAAAGTCTCCTAGATGGCTTTGTCTGTAATCCAGTAACATAAATGCAATATCATAGTGTTTTTCATGTGATGCACAGTTTCATATGAAAAGGTTCTTTCAGATAACATCATGCAATATTAATTTTAAATATAGTTAAAGTCTGAAAACTCTCTATAAAAAAATGCTCAAAACTCCCCCCACCATTATCTTGCAGAACAGAAATATTAACAAACCAACTCTCTAAAATCCTTATGAATTAACAAAAATCCATTTATTTCAAGGAAGCATTAAACTATTTTCTCCCACGTAAATTCACCTTTGCATTTAACTTCAGAGTGATGAGATGCTGTCGACCACAAGAGTCTTCAGCTTTTAGCTTGATTGTGGTAAGACCAGTATCCACATATGCGACTCTGAAAGAGAAAAGGAAACTCTAACAGTATTGTAAGAAGTACAGTTTGAAATGTCTCCAACACTCTTATGAGTCTCTTACAAATATTAATCAGAAGTCCTATATGCCAACCATTTCTGCTGTTCTAGATTTACTGCTGTTAATACACCAGTCTACTGCTTAATGTAGTCGTATATCTTTGGGTTATTTACAATGTGTGTCAAGGCTCATGCTGTGGTCAGTGAGCACTATGTTTCCGTTTTCCATCACTGGAACCTTTGACACACACAGCATGTTCCTGTCAGCCTCTACTTACGTACATATTAAACTTCCTGTCAAATATTTGATCCATTTCTGCAGTTTCTTACTGTATGAGACTTTTATGCTTTTGATTTGCTTTTCTCTTCAATGAAGTTCTTTTTTATTATCAATACTATTATTGTGGAAAATTCAGTGGATATTGGTTCATATTCTGAAATTGATTTTCTGCAGAAAACAGTACCCGAACAGGTACAAAATGAGTTATTTATGATGATTTGCCTTTGTTTCATGACAGTTTTACACAGTATACAGGCACCCAAGCAAGTATCAAGTGCATACTAAATGTAAATAAGTTTTAAAACTTCTGACATAATTACTGACTCTTTGCTTAAAATGTCACTGATTTGTGCTTCCCACAACAATGAAGATGCATACAATTGTAAAATACATTGCTTTCTAGATATATGTTCTGCTAAGTAGCTCCAACAACTGCCAAAAAGGTTCAAACTTCTCCATATACTTACCGGTGGGCTTGTGGGTATTTTGACATTTTTACTATGTCATTCTGGTGTAAAGCTAAAAAGCTGTCCAAGATCATTGTATTGATTATTGACCTGAGTAACATTTTTTTTTTAAACAATTACAACTAGCCCAGTTACTCAAGCCAGCATGCTCGGAAAAATGGTTCTCTTTTAAGTGAAACTGGCAACGGAGTTGTAGAAGCCAGCACAAGAAAAAGTAGACATACAACAAAGCATGTGCACTAGGAAAGAAGTGACAAGAAGAAAAGAAAGTGATCCACATAAATGACATAGCCTCAATATGAGGGAACTGAAAAT